CTACTAAGGAGCCTATGGGTAGCAACTACAAGAAGCGCAAATTTATTGAAGCTGCTAAATGGACTTTAGGAAGTAGTGTTGATACTTGTGCTATTTGAGGGCATTCAGAATCTCTCTGGCTCGTAGAATTTAGGGTGCTGAGCCTTAGTAGTAGTTCCTTTTTGGGATTACCTTATAGGATTCTAAATATGAACCATAAAAAGGAACTACTTAGGAGCCTTTGGCTAGCGGGGTTTACAGCTTCAGAAGGAGTCCTCAATCCGGAGGAGGATATCAACAGGCGAGGCCCAGGTCGCAGCACCATCTTTGACATGACATAGGTTTGTTTGGCCTTGGCGTTTCAGGCAATCAGGGCTCAGGGTTTAGGGTTTAGGGTTTCAGGTTTAGGGTTTAGGGTTTAGGGTTAGGGGTCAATCAGCACGTGGTTGCATCTATGCGCATTTTTTCACAGTACGGTATGGTGGGGGGGTCTGTTAGTCAGGCTGCATCTGCCGAGACGCACCGCGTACTGCGCGATGGTGGGCTGCTGATCTCCATCACGGAGCTTCGTGGCAACTTCATGGCTTCATGGGTCCTGACGGATGATCATGGGTATGTTTATTTATATGAAGTGACTCAAGTAGGATCATTTGGCCTTGAAGAGTGGCTAGAGCCGACTCAAAGATGCAGATGCGCTCAAAAGACTGGCAAATCCCCCGAGACCTGAAACCCCCGACCTATAGCAAAGCAAGTAGACAACCCAAAACCCCTGAACCCTAAAACCCTAACCTGCAAACCCTAATATAGCGGCCTAAATAGTTACCAATATTGGGGGTTCCTTATAATTATAATTACAATATAATGGATCCCCAAACCCTATTCTAATTATCCAGGCCCCTACATGAACCCTAACACCCTAACACCCTAAACCCCTAAATCCCAAACCCCTAAACCCCTAAATCCTAAACCCCTACACCCCTAAACCCCCTAAGCCCCTGAAACCTAAACCCTAAACCCCTAACCCTGAACCCCTTGGCCGCAGAGTGCCCAGCTCTCAGAGCTTCGCAGGACACGCCGCGTGACCGACGCCTCGAGCAGCTTCGACCTGGGCCCCCCCCTCGCTTGTTGAGGTTTAGGCTTTGGGGTTTAGGGGGGTTTAGTTTTTAGGGTTTAGGGCAGGTCCGGCTGGCTGAAACTACCTGGCATCCTCTTAAGGAGTTGTCGTATAAGTTACTAGAAATAATGGGGATCTATGATGAATAATGTGATTTCCTTATCATGGTAAGTTAAATAGTAGCCTAATTCTGTTTTAGTCTTGCATTTAGGGCTCACAATCAAAACTGTTCTGTAAAGAAGCCCTACAAATCATTGAGGCCCCTAGATGAGTTGGAGTTTGGGGCTGGGCGGTTGATTGGTTCAGGGAAGCAAGGATTTGGGGTCCAGGGTTTAGGGTCAGCGCTCCGGCTTAGGATTCAGGGCTTGCGGTTCTTGCAGTAGTCGCTAAGCCCCAGGATTTTTTCTTGATACACTCATAGTTCAAAGTCCTCGACAAACCCTGAGATGTCCCCTTCAAGCAGTAGGTCTCAGTAGGTCCGTAGGTCTGGTAAGGTTGCAGGTTGATCTTGGGCTTGGAGGCGTCGGCGCCTTCTCTCCCGGAAGGCTTAAGAACCTGAGCCAGCCCGACTTCGGTCAACACCCTAACCAACCAAGGGTTTAGGGTTTACAGGGTTTAGGGTTTCAGGTTTAGGGTTTATAGTGTTTAGGGTTTAGGGTTTAGGGTTTGGCGGCTGTAGTTTGATAGTGTGTTGGCAGAACCTTCGCGAGTTGCCTCATCATCTGGGACGTTCCTGGCTTGAGTCTACATTGTAGGATGCCTGCCTGGTCTATTCAAACAGCGAGGTTTAGGGGTTTAGTCTAGGGTTTTAGGGTTCAAGCTCTGCAGGCGTTGGCAAGGCTGCGTGTCCCACAGCGGCCAAATAGACACCGCGAGCGGGCAAAAGGATCTCTTCGTGCCACCTGACTCCGACATTTAGGGTTGGGTTTAGGGTTTGTGGTTTAGGGTTTAGGGTTTAGGGTTGGGTTTAGGGTTTGTGGTTGTGGTTGTGGTGGTTGTTGTTGCTGTTGCTGCTGTTGTTGCCATTGTAGTACTCAGCAGCACTCAATAGCGACGCAGATGAGCTACTTAGCCCAGGCTACCTCACAGTTCCAGGCATACTTGTAGATAAAACCTGCAACCAGGCTACAAAGCTACTCAGTAACCGTAGAAAGTTGTTGTTTCCATATCAAGGCCGAGGTTTTAGGGGGTGGATGAACGAACGCATTCAAGGCAGTTTGCAGTTCGGAGGTCGGTTGGGGGTCGTTCCCGGAGCTAATCCCTAAACCCTACAGTTTTCATGTCGTTTCATCCAGGGCGAAAGGTACGCTACTGGAAGCTCTAGGGTCCAGTGGTCCAGGTCCTAGGCAGCTTCAAGTTGCTGAACTCCTGAAGTAAGGGTGAGGTCCAGGGCTTCCTAGGTAGTATTAGGGAGACCCCTTAAAGGGAATCCTTCTTAAAGGGAACCTTATTGAGAGGGTCTATATCCCCGAGTTCCCCCTGATCCTAACTCCGAGGGTTCTTCAGGCGTCAGAGGTTTTGGGCTAAGACGGAGCTTCCGAGCTTTGCAGCAAGGCATGTGTGCCGGAAGCCCACGTCTACTGGAGTCTTGAGCTGGCTGTGGAGGCATGCAGTAGGGTTAGGGTCTAGGGTTTAGGGTTTAGGGTCTAGGGTTTAGGGTATTTAGGGTATTTAGGGTATTTAGGGTATTTAGGGTATTTAGGGTTTAGGGTGTTGCCGTGGTTCAGGGTTCGCTTTTCGCCCCCCTCCCCCCCCTCCCTCCCCGCCACCCTCTTTGAGTGCTAGTTTTGGGTCATGCATTGGGCGCACTGGGAGCGACAAACCAGTATAGACGACATGGCTGAGTCAGTAGGTGACATGTGTTCCGCGCACTGGGGCCTTTGTTTAGTGGGATTAGTAGGGTAGTGTAGTTGCCAGTGGCAGTAACAATAGCAACCACTGCTGCGTGCATGATGCTATAGATAGGCTGTGAATATTCGTATAATATCTAAACCCTAAACCCTTCTACTATAAACCTTAAACCCTTATACTATAAACCCTAAACCCTTATACTATAAACCCTAAACCCTTCTACTATAAGCCTTAAACCGTATTGATGAACTTCTGTCTCCCTGGCATCGGAACTACAGGAAGCATGCAACGAGGAATGCTCAGACGGTTACGCCGAGTACCCTGCAGTAGTTGATGCGCATCCCTGGACCTTTTGAATGCACCTGGAGATACCCTCATGACAAAGTCCATGTGAGGATTTCGGGCTTTGGAGATTTTAAGCAGTAGTAGAAATATCTGGCGTTAGCCAAAGTGAGGCTTCTAAGCAACAAGGTACTTCTCAAGAGTGTTCCGTCAGACCCTGGGAAATTTCCTCACCGTTTCTGCCAAGCTCGTAATATGGGACTTGAGGAAGGGAGTCAGGTTTAGTATGTACCCACAGGCTCCTAAGTAGTTTCTTGTTTTTCTGGTTTATATTTAGAATCCTATAAGGTAATCCCCAAAACGAACTAGTTAGGGGCCTATGGGTAGTGCTTAAGTGGAGGTTTGGCCTGAAAACTGAGCGTTCCAAGACTGGGCAGGGATCTACTAGACATAGCGCATGTCTACTCTACATCAAGACCAGCTCTCTCATGTGGAGGCGGCTACTTCCTTCCCCATGGGCTAGTAGCCGCGAGCTTTGACCGCTCTGTGCTTCTGCTGCATTTGAGGTTGAGGGCAGAGCTCTCGCAACGCTTCCGGGATTCTACAGTCCCACAAGCCTTCAATCTCCGACATTCCTCCTTTGCAACACCGTCATAATTGCAGTTCAGGGTAGATTCCATAATCTCCGACTGACAAGCATCGGGAGGGCAGGGGCGCGGGTTGGCACGGGCTTCAGCTTCACAAAACCGTCGCAGCTACCACGAAACTGCATCCGACCGCCGGTTCGTTCGTGCAGAATTGGATGTTGGTAGACTTTCTTTCGAGCCCCCTCGAGCGTGAAGTTCCTAAGATCAGGCCCTAAGCGACAGTAATACAGGGGCCTTAACAATTAGAATGGGGTTCTGGGGTTCCGTATGATAATTTCGTACAGAATAGTATACCCCCCCTTACCCTAATTCGAATTATTAAGGCCCCTACATGAAATTGGCAGACAGAAAGCTCACCTGGGGTCGACCGAGGGCTCCTGTCGAGGCATCTTAACTTTTCATAATCACAATAATAGTGATAGTAACAAAAAGAGTAATAGTGATAATTAGTAATACTAATATCAGCAACTGGCAACTAGTAGTATATTAATGATAATAGCAATAGTAATAGCAATAGTAGTAATGGTAACAAGAGTAAAAAGGATAGTAATATAACATATCTGACCTTATCTTGTGTTTGCCGTGTCCGGCATCGAAGGAGAGGCGGCCAGCTCAGGTCTCACGAACACTACGAATTTCACTCCGAGCTCCCCGCTGCGAGTGAGGCTCGAAGCGACGAGGTAGGCTTCGCCATGGGACATAGGACGTAAAGATGAAGGACCTCTCGACGCTGCCGCAGATCATCCAGAGCTTCGTTCTTGGGAACCTCTGGGAAGCAGAACCGAATCACTCTGTGCCGCAGACATGCAAGACATTCTGCGGCTTGTGGAGACAGTATGCGGCAGCTAAGGCGCTCCTCACCTCCGATAGTGGGACCGCATACTTCTTCAGGTTGTGGCTTGCAGAGTTCATGAAGGATCAGGCCTTGACAACGCAGAGTGCTTCAGGCCCGCGGCATAGCCCCATCTTTCACTTCGTTGCCAAAGTGCAGAAAGACAGCCAGTTGTCTGAAGCACCGAGATACCTCGACTGCGGTGACAGCTTGAGTCTTTACTTGGCGAGGCTGAACCCACCAGACATTGAATCGGAGCGCCTCAAGTGCCTATGGGACAAAGTGGCTGCTGTTCTACGGGGCGAGCAGCTTACGGGTGCCAGCCTCCTGTTGGCTTATGCTCAGAATTCTGAGAGTATGGCTGCGGATTTAGTCGTGCTCTTGAGGGACTCATCAGGCTTGTCGCTCTTGCGATGTAGCGGGGATTGCGCCTACAACGAAGTGTATATCTCAACACATGGAGTCGCGGCCGGCGGTTTGCGCAAAGCAGTGAAGCAAGTGTGGAAATGCAGAGGAATCGACTTGGAAGATGCCATGGACAAACTCTTCCGATGCCTGAGCTTCAAGCCCTCTTGGAGCGAAGAATGGGAGTCGCAGATGGACTTCGACTTCGAAGCGGACAGTGATGATGCCATGCAGACCTACCTCGAGAAGCTTTGGAGTGGTACAGGTGATTGAGCCACATAATATAGGGGCCTCAATAATTACCTATATTATTTCGGGGGTTCCTTATTATAACTATAGCATAATGGGCCCCAAAACCCTATTCTAATTATTTAGGCCCCTATATTAGGCCTCAACACGGGGAACTGGCGGTTGTTCTTCAGATTCGTGCACATCGCGCTCGTGCACATATTAATGTGCTCATATGTCAGTATGTCAGTATGTATGTCAGTATGTATTAATATCAATTAAGTGTGTCTGTATGGATGTACGTGCATGCACATATCTGTGACAATCTGCCTGGCGGGTTTCATCTAACTAACTACTTGCGGGGGTTAATTGACTTTTCTGTTTCACGCAGAGAGGGGTGCGAGAAGATGGCGAATCCAAAAGCAGTGCTCTGCTCTTCTGGCTAAAATCTTGTGTTTGTTGCCTCCTTTTTTATGGGGCTTGTGGCGACTGATAAGCTTCGACGCAGAGGGCCGGCTTTGCTGACGGCACGCCTGAGACAAGGACTGATATAAGGCTTGCTAGATGCCCTGCCCGCTTTTGCTGGAGGCGCGATCGGAAAGGCCTGCCAGGTGTCAGGCAGTGGACTCTGAGAAGATCTGTCAGGTCAAGCAATGCCACGCGCGAAATATGGGAAACCCCTGAACTTCAAGCAGATTGACCTTTTGCCCTGGAACCCCCCAACCCTGGCAAGCCTTCGGCAAAACCTGAAACTAATATCGGAGATATATGCTCAGCACCAGAATCGCTCGTCTTTCTTGGGGTCTCATGTTGTTGATGGAAGAAGTCCTGCACCACCCTGAGCCTTACAAGGTTTTAAGTTGTTGGGATAGCTTTGGAGGTGTAAGATTATCTCCCTCAGCCATACATCCACCCGAGGCCTGGGGAGACCTCGAAGCAGCTCGAGTGCCGGGAGTCTTCGGAACATGATCCGAGCCAAGAGGGGCCGTTCCCACCCAGGCTCGACACTGGCCGGTTAATCTAGGGGCCTTAATAATTAGAACAGGGTGTTGGCGCCCATTATACTCTAACTATATTAAGGAACCCCCCCAAAAAAAACCTATTCTAATTACTATAAGGCCCCTATGTTAAGCTCGGGTTGCTAGGATCCTGAATGCCAAAGCCCGAAGCGTGAACCCGTGGAAACTACGGTGGATGGTATAAACCTCCTGCATTGCCCAAAATAAGGAATATACCACAGCTCCCATAGTTTAGGGCCCTTAAGGTAAGGCAGGATTTATATCATCAACAGTATCGAAAGCCTGGGGCCTGGCAAGGGCTTTGGTTTTACGAAGTGCTTTTGGCCCCGCGGTTGATGGGTTTTGTAGGCCGCAGCCGGGATGCGGAGAGCAGTCCGCAACACTCCCTCATTACAGGGTAGACTTTAAATCATACTATTCGAGCCCCTCATAAACTCAGGGATATTCCTTAATGAAGTGTTATTGGACCTGTTCCTGAAAGAAACCTTTATGAAGCAACAGTCTAAACTTGTCTATCCCTGGTTACTTCAAAGCCCAACTGACCAGAACCTGAAGGTCCTTCTCGGATCTGGAGCTTGGCGGCCGTGGCCTTGCATCATCTTCCATCGTCCATCGTGTTCTTGGATGGCGACCTCTTCCCGTCAAACTTCTGTGGCGAGGCCTGCTCCACTCCACTCCTAGGGTCGGCTGTTGTTGGTTTTGCTCCTGCTGGTTGCATTTCGTACATTGAATCGCCTCGCATTCCTTATCACCGTTGCCATGAATGTCGCTACGAGTTTGACGATTCTGGAGTTCAACACATTCGTGTCGTCGTTTTCATTGTTGATGGAGTTTGCCTTCTTTGTCGTCGCCTTGCGTTTTGTTATTGCTCTTTCTATTGGCTGTTGTTGTCGCCGTTGTGCTGTTGTTGTCGTCGTCATCGTCGTTGTTGGTGGTGTGTGGTGATTGTGCTGCTGCTGCCGGTGCTGGTGCTGCTGCTGCTGCTGCGGCGGTGGAGGTGGCGTTGAGCTACGCGTAGCTCGGGCCCAGTTACTGTTGAGTCTTTTCTGGAGCTTCGGCTGCAGGCCTGCGCGAAGCCGAACACCGCCGACGATTAGACTTCACCGGCTGCTTTGCGACTTTGCGCCTAGGATATCTGAGAGAATTTGGCAGTTTTCGTGTCTAGAAGCTAGAACCTAGGATGTTCTGGTGTTAGGAAGGCACCTCCCTCATCCGCACGTGCAGTTCTCTGAGGTGTTCGATGCATCTAGCTGCCAACGCGCTTGCCTTGCAACGACCATCTTGGCGGCTTGCAGCGGGCCAAAATCGTGAGCGTCTTCACGTGCTCTTCACCCCATGCCCTTCACCCGGCTCCACCCTTCGGAGAACTTGCAAGAAAGGCTTTCCTCCGAAGCCAAAGCAGCGAAGTTGACCACTCTGGGTTTGTACTCAGGAAGGGCAAGAGAGGAAGTCAGAAATGAAGTTCCGGCGAGGGAACTACATGCTCCGAACGTGTTTGCCCCTGCAATAGAAAGATGTCTAACAACAGGCCCTTGTATCATAAGATCACAGGCTTGAGGGTTATTGAGAAGCACCAGAGCATGGAGATAACCTTGCCCTAGGCGTCCCTGAAACCTGGACCCGTCAGCCGTAATCGCAACTCCTAATGCCTAACCTCGCCCGGACAAGCCTTAAGCCGCAAACGTGTGATCCCCAAATGAACTCCACCCCTATTGCAGCCCTTATGACACCTAAGCCCTAAGCCCGGAACCCTGTACCCTAAACCCTAAACCCTAAACCCTAACCCTAAACCCTAAACCCCCTTAAAAGAGCCCTTCCGGCGAAGGCCTCGAGTCCTCCTTCTGGGCAAAGGGATCCACCGGCTATCAGCCGCTGCCCGTTTCGAAGGCCGGGGTTCGCGATTTCTACTACCCATAGGCCCCTAAGTAGTTCCTTTTTGGGATTACCTTTAAGGATTCTATATATAAGCCATAACAAGGAACTACTTAGGGGCCTATGGGTATACGGGCCTTAGCAAGTAGAATACCGGGTGATGATATAAATCCTGCATTACCTATTAAGGACCCAAAACTATGGGAATTATGGTATATTCCTTATTATGGGTCATGCAGGATTTATAGCATCAACCGTAGGATGTGGGAGTATGTTATACCATAATTTTAGTAAAACCCCCCCCCCATGATCCTATTCTAATTGTTAAGGCCCCTATACCACATCTTCCCTTGTAAGGTTCCGTATCACGCTTCCCTTATAGAAGCCCTCTTCGAGGTGGGTCATATTTTGGGGATTCAAGTAAGGGATGGTATAGGCGCTTCGTGGCTTCCTAAGCATGGCTTCTAGAGGTTGATACTCGCAGGATGTAGGGTTCAGGCCTGGGTGGGAAACCAAAGAGCACCTAAACTCAGAACCCGTGCTAGACCCTAAACCTTAAACCCTAAACCCTGAACCCTAAACCCCTAAATCCCTAAACCCCTAACATTTAACCCTAAACCCCTAAACCCCAAAATCTCTAAACCCCTAAACCTCTAAACCTCTGTTTTAAGAGCTCGTCTGTGCGAGGTCCCAGAATCATTGGCGCCGCTTCGGGAGGAGACAAAGCCAGAACCGGCAGTTCAGGAGGCGAAGGGCTTAGAATGGAGGGTTTAGGGTTTAGGGGTTTAGGGTTTAGGGCTTTAGGGGTTTAGGGTTTGGGGGTTTAGGGGTTTAGGGTTTAGGGTTTTGGGGTCCAGGGTTTAGGGTTTAGGGATTTAGGGCTTAGGGGTTTAGGGTTTAGGGGTTTAGGGCTGAGGGTCTTCAACAGGGTTAAGTTTGTTTTTGACAGGGTTTCCATAAACTCTTGATAGGATTGAGGCGTTTTGACAGGGTTTGGAAAGGCTCTGGATAGGGTTTCAAGGAGTGCAGCTCGGGCGCTGTCGACTTTTTGTCATTGTCAAGTCTGTGGGCTTTCTTCGGGGTTTAGGGCTTGCTACGTACTCAAAGGGTTTGGGGTATTAAAAGGCATTCGGGCAGTTTGGGGTCAAGTCCCAGCTCTGAACCCTCTCAGCTATAACCGGCTGTAGCAGCCCATGCGCAGGAAATCCGAAGCTTCAAACAATCCCCTACACCCGAGAGGCTGAAGCCGGTCCTCCTTGGTATCTGGGCAGACCTTCTGGAATCCCGACTACCACAGCTACAACAGCTAAACCTGCAGCAAGAATCAAAACCCTAAACCCTAAAACC